GTTAGAGCGACTTGGGAGATTGTGGCAAAAATAATGTTACGTTGACTTCGTTTATAAGTATAGTTACTTGGACAATCCCCCTATTTATATTAGATAGGAGGTCCGGGATGTGTGACGAATAGATTTCATGAGACCCGATCATGTGGCTCATTCGGAGCAAGCATCGCAAAACCAACTCTCGGAGATAAGTGGTCTTGGTGTTGATCCTTCCGTGCATATATAGGGCTCTATATCTATGGAAAAGCACACCCATCCGTTCGTAAATTACACACTTTTATTATTAATTATATGTGTCAAAAAATTTTAACTTTCTTCTCTTATTTTTTATAATGCATTTTTTTCAAGAGACAAAATTAGGTCATGAGCCAATGAGTTTTGAGTTGTTTTAGACGACTCACAAGCGACGCGTCGATCTATGCTCTCGACAAACAATGATAAATTTTTTTAAATTTCAAATATGAAAGATAATCTAAAATTTATATTAATCCTATAATGATGATATCATTATTTTGATTACATAGCAGCGTGTGGAACGACTCATTTAGGAGGCGATTGCAGTGCGACGAGTGGAAGGAATCCTAGAGCTAGAAGTTGATAAGAATGCTATATGCCTCAAAGTCGTCGGAGAGAAGAAGAAAAGGCTATATGGTATAGGCACATAGGCGATGTATTACCTATCCCGGTCAGGTGGCAGCGGCTCCTTCTCTATGACATCGTATTACAACATCGACCCTACTAACAATGAGTTTCGGAGGGACTCGTAAGGCTATGAGGACGCAATGAAAGAGATGCCGGTGAAACAAGACAAGCTCCAAAACCCGATCATAGAGCGACAGAGCACTATACATTGTCTTAAATCTCGGTACGACACGATGGCCTCCTTAATGATAAGATTGGCACGCACAACCTCGGTGCTCGTAGATCGATCGATCAATCAAGACTTTACCATTCCTTCCATACGGCCTCCCATCTAGCCTCCCATCGATCCTCCCACCGAGCTCTCCACACGGTATCGGGAAGAGGATAAAGGATTAGATGAGCAAGATGAATAGTAACACATACATTTTGGGACTTTGTTTATTTTTATTGAACATATTATACTAAATGCTATTGTTAATATTAATTTATATTTAATCTTTACGTTATTACTTGTAATTGTTAATTATTAAATATAATATTAATAATTTTTTTAAAAAAATAATAATGATGATGGATCAACAAAAAATTCTTTGATTATAGCGATGGAATATCGATGAATAAGAACGACGTTTAGTGACGAAATAGTGACGAATGAACTTAGCTTCGGATATTAACAACGAAAAATCGATTAGTATTCGAGCAACAAAATTAGCGACGGATTCTTAAATGTTAGCGATGGAAATTTCCTCGTACATATAGCGATGGAATTGATTTTTTCATTGCTAATTTTAACTATAAGTGATTTAGCGACGGCAAGATTTTCCATCGCTACACTCGTCACTATGCCACATTAGCAAAAAATTTTAGCCAATTAGCGACGGAATAATCCGTCGCTAATTATGCGTTTTTTTTTTTTTTTTGTAGTGGATATGTGTCTCTATCAATCCATTAGGCATATAAATATTTATTCCATATAGCCTTGAAACTTACTCTCTTTTTTAATCAATTCTTTAAAATAATTTTATTATTTCTAATCATTTTATGTTCAAGATTAATAAAAAAAATTAATTATATTGGACAAATTTGTTATCAACTTCATCTTATCTTATCTTATTAATCGAGAAAATTTTAGATTCGTTTTCTACTTTTAAGATAGAAAGGCTCGGACCTCTCTTAAAAGAGAATTGCTCTCTCCTTTAAGGTCCGGGAGGCTTTACAACCGACTTGAACTTTAAAATTTTTATAGATTTTTTGGATCTTTTGAAGCTCTAATATCATATTGAATTTGATAATGAATTAAATTATATTCAAACGACTCAACTTCATATTTAGTGTTATTTTGTTTATCTATTGCATGTGGATATGTGTGTCTACCAATCAGCCAGCATATAATTATTTATTCTATATAACCTTGAAACTTACTATTGTTTTTTTAATCAATTCCTTAAAATATTTCTTTTTTATTTCTAGCCGTTTAATTTATTTTCAAGATTGATATATCATTTATCTATCCTTAAAACAAAAATTAATAATGTAGGACAAACTTACTATTACTCCTTATCTTTATCTTTCATCTTATTAACTGCATTTTGCTTTACATGAGAAGTATTGAAAGTACGACATGCTTAGATACATTTTCTACTTTGTAGAGAGAGAAGCTGTGACCTCTTTCTAAAAAGAACCTATCTTTCTTTTAAGGTTTAGGGGTTGTCGCTGGCCATTTGTTGGCCAATGGGCAGTACCAGTCTCTTTTTTCTTCTTCTTCGTTCCTCTTTTTTTTTTTTTTTTTCCTTTCTATCTTTTTTCCTTTGTTTTTTTGTTTGTAATAATCTCAAATCTAGTGATTTGATAACCAAATTTGATGGTTTTGGAGTCCAAATAATTTCATATCAAGATCGTTTTGATCTTAGATTTGTTGATTTTGGGGTTATGTCCTCAATTATTGTGGTTTTGATCTTTTTGGAAGGGTTTTTATTTTTATTCATTTATTGGTTGTTTTGAAGATTTGTTCAAGTATCCATGATGGAGAGGAGCACGGATCCTCAGTTCCAATAGAATACTTGGTGGAGTCACTGTTTTTGTCGCTGGAAAAATATATTGACATGCGTTAACAACTTTGATTTTTCCTTCCATGGAGCCTATTAGTGCAGCCTGTTTTCTCAATGTTGTTTTATGGTAGCAGGTTAATTTTAAGCTCATGAGATACATGGAGAAGTTTGAAAAGAAAAAGTTCTATGAAACGGATTGAAAATCCGTGAAATAGAATAAATAACAAGATGCTATTCGAATAATCAAATATATATTATTTAGCATGTCAAGAGTTTTTCACATAAATAGGCTCAACTTTTAACTTTTTGTTTTCCATATGTATTTGTTGATTTTATGATATATTTGTATTCGTTTGGAGTATTAATGAAATCATTTTCGAAAGAAAACGTCAGTGGATTAATAAAATATCATATGCGAGCCTAACCTTATCCTAAATATCCATATTTGGGTAGCTACGATTTTGCCGGGAGACTAAAATGATGAAGCTTTGCTCGACGAAGTCAACAATTATTTATTTTAGAAACGTCTTCCGTCTCACAGAGGTTTTCTCTACCATTAATTCTTCTCATTCATCTTCATAATAACCTCTCTTGTTTTTTTTTTTTTTTTTTTAGAAATAACATTTTATTTATTTATTTATTTTGCAGGCTGTTTCCAGTATCCTTCAACCTTCTTCTCTATAATTCAGTCAAAATTTAAAATATCAATTATAGACCCACTACATGTTAATTATAAATTCAGCAACAGAAAAGGCCACCTCAATCCGTTTTTCAGCTATTATGCCCGAAGCTAAAAAGTTTGTTCAAATGGTCGGGTTTCTTTATATATATATATATATATATATATATATATATATATATAGGAAAAAGAAACATCAGAAATTTAAGCAAAAGTTGTGTCATTTCAAAATAATCTTCGAAAAGGATCCATTAACATTTCAATCCAAAACTTTGCGACTTTATATATCAGAAATCTTCTTGGGAATTGCTGTTCTGTTTGATATTCTGCCTTCCTGGACAAGATCTAAAATATAAGATTAGTCACGTTTGGTTCCCTTGAGACACCCTTATAGGGTTACAATCACCTTAGGCTTAGTAGGCTTTTGTTGTCTTCATTTTTGCATGTCTGGTGGGCATCAATTGATCATCACGTTTATAAATACAGAAAATTGCTTTTCTGAAATTCAAAATAATGAAATTTAAAAATTGTAATGGCCGAGGTTGTATGCATGCATGCACAAATTAGGCTTAAATCACTTGAATTATATCATATTGACCTGCTGGTATAATTAATGTAACCCATCTCAATTGTGTTAATAATTAAACATAAATTCAAAATAATAATAATAATAATAATAATAATAATGCACGGACCCAGACTCGAAGTGAAGTATCCTAAGTTGTAATTAAGTTGATTTTGATCAGACCATATTGATCAGCTGAAACCACAAGATCAATCGTACTCATCGTTATTAATAGGTACAAAATTAAATGTCATTTTCATGGATGCCATGTACGGATCTCGAAATACATGTGCATGTATATGCATACTTATTTGAGTGGAGAAGATAACGATCAATGTTCAAGTCGAGACTTTTGTTTTTTTGGCAATTTGTGATTGGCATCTCCGCCAAAAACAAGTATGTACATACAAGACTCCAATTGTGGTTGAACTTTTAGGCACCACAGTATTTTGACAGAGTATATGATATATTCCGATGATAAGAATCATGATATGTGTTTCTTCATTTCACTCAAAGATAATCAGACAAGAATTCGTTATTAAGAGGATAATTCCTACCAACTATCAAAAGGCCTCGTAACCAGATAAAACCCAGACGAGCAATATAAACAAATAATTTGAATAAAGAAGGAATTATTCTTCTCATTTGTTAGACAAAAAAATACATAGATTTAATGAATGTATGGTTTCTTGAGATGTTCTTTTCATCTCATCACTAAATATAATTGCACATAAATTGTTAAAAAACAACATTTGCCTAAAAAATATTAAATTTTCAAATGGATATTAGGATCTATTGAACACAAAAGCGAGATATCACTCTATTCTCTACTCTATGTAAGTTGTTTACATCCTACCTCTAAATAATCTCATATTTAAAATTTAAATTCAATCAAAATTCACTTAATTAGATAATTTAAAGTTTTTAACTTATTACTTTTTGATTAATATACTCGGTTGAAAGATTTTTAAAAATTTTTAATTATCACTATATAGCCCTCATTTATTCTTATAACTTTAATTATATAAACTAATCGAAAAATGATTTCTACTATCCTCATTTCCCAAACAGAGAAAACATTTTCCATCATCGATGCTTCCATCCCACCATCAAAAACCTTAACCGCATTGTCCAAATCACCTAATGCAAAATAAACATCAATAAACTTATTACACAAAACACCTTCTTTATCAAAACCTACTTTCAAAATCTTCCCATGAAGCTTATTGTAGTTTACCAAAGAACTTGAATTTTTTTTTAAAAAAAAAAAAAGAAGAAGAAGAAGAAGTCCAAAAGCCGGAGATATGTTTGACAATTCCCACGAATCCCAAGGTGTTCCATCGACAGCAAAAACTCAATCTTTTTCAAATTATCTTCATTTTATTGGTTGGAAAATTCATCAAATGCATAACATGCTAGCATTGGTCGACTTAGATTCGTACTAAAACACCGCCAAAAAGATACAAATTCAATAAATAAATATTTTTTTAAAAAAAAAGCGGAACTTTTGCATGTTAAGCCTATATTTTTAACACTAAATTTTCCCCTTTTACTCAAATTTCATGGATTCTTGGAATTCTATATTTCATGTCCTTTTGAGATGTTAGATTGATAGAGGCGAATTGTGTGGTGATTAAGGAAAGTAGACTACAAATGTCACCTGTAAATTTACCCTTCTTAGACTTCTAAATTCAAACATTTATGATTAATTTGCAAGATCAAATTGCAAATGAATTGATTAGTATTGAGATTTTATTTATTTTATGCATAATACGAAAATTAACATTATCTTAGACCGCGCTTAATTTTTGTATTAATAATTATTTTTGTATTTATTTATTTATACGCACAAACACATCTATGGATATATTTTTATTTGTGTTAAAAAAATATCATGTTACAATTGCAAGTTTAAAATTATCATGTATATAGTCTTAATATGTTCGATAACGTATTTATTAAACGAGTCTTATTATATTCGGTACTTAATTTTCGAGTAAATATCAAGTAGCTTGTTAGCAACATATTCGGTACTTAATTATTCAGCGCTTAAAATTCAATACTTAACGGATTCGATACTTAATTTTCGGTTTTATCAAACACCATCTAAGTGTTATAAATTATGCCTTCTAAACTAAAAAACGAGATATAACACTACATGTCTTTTCTTATTGAGAGTTAAATACAATTAAACCTATTCAAACCAAATACTTCTCTTTGTATGCTAATTTTACCATCGAAAGATCCTCCAAATGCTAGAGGATGACTTGTTTTACAATTAGTCTATATTGATTCAACATACAACTAGTTACATCAACCATCAATCGGTATGAATCAAAGTCATTCAAACATCAATATTAATTCAAAGAATGCGACCTCATTAGTGGCATCATAAACTTAAGCAAAAAATCAATTTCCAAACTGTTATATTTCTCCATCTCCAAGCTCCTTCATGGCCAACAATAAGGAAATTCCAATGCATTTTACACCATTCAACTTTGCCGGTCCCAATGTTATACCAATGATAGCCTTTAACTACAAAGACATTAAGTTGCTAATAAAGACATACATATCGATAGAGATCAGCACAAGGCAACACTTTTTTTCCTTTTGAACCTCTTCAATGAGCTCAAATGTCGGTAGGCAATTAAAAGACTTGTAATCGTCGCTCAATATGGATTAAAACGCCGCAACCATAATCTTGAGGCCTTTCCACTTACTCCTTACATCTTGAATGTTAAACTCTCAATATAGTTCTTTGCTAGAAAGATGAATCTAGATATGTATAATGGCATAATAAATCTTTGAGAATACATATAAAATTTTTAAAAAAACCTTAAATTGGTCATAAAGAGCTCGGATGCCATATTCAAAATGCCTTCTACCACCTTTCATATGATAGCAAGAAAGTGGTATAACAATTTATATCCCAAGTCGATCTTTTATTTTGAAGACTTGTGATTTAAGCTGGTAGCTCACTTCTCTACTAGTATTTCTACTAAAAGAAGTTTAGGAGATTTATTTATAGTCTCTTAGAGAGGGAAAAAAGCACCCAAGCTTAACTCTCTTATTTTTATAAGAAAATGCTAATGGTTTATCACTTATTGGAACCCATAGCAACAAAACTCTCATATCAAGGGTCGGTGAAGCCAACCTATGGAAAAAAATATCCATGCTCTCCCTAATGTACACCTTTACCAAGTAAAAAAGTAATAGAGAGTCACGACTGAATAGAGAAAGCAATAGCCACCTAACATGTTCACCCGTGCCTTGAAAAGCCAAGAGAGAAAGAAAAAAGGAAAGGGCCTCAATAATTTATTCCAATCAAAAATAAATCTCAAATGGCCTAAACATAATCATCCGGTCTTATCAAAAGTCCAAATAGCTCCCATAAATGTCTCCGAATGGAGGTATTTTCCATCATATAAGGAGAGCAATATATTAGTTGCCCAACTCTAATGAGGGGTCATCTACACTTTTATAAGCAAAACAAATATTGCCTTTATCATCAAGATGTTGGCCATGACACTAAGAATTACAACTTGTTGAAAAAATAAATATAAAGACTAAAAGATAAGGATACCTCAAGTAGTTAATCAAGATAGAAGAGCCCAAACTAGATAAGGCCAATGCCGGAAAAAAATCCCCAAGAGGAAGATTATCTTTAAATCCATGGAATTTTAAGTAGACCACATTCCAAATAAAGTTTAAAAAAGTGAGGAGAACTTTTCTACTTAGCAATAACATTTTATCTCAATTCTCTACACACACTCTCGTGTCAAGCTCCCTAAGTTGAAGAAGACCAATCCTCGAGGTATTGGATTTCATCTTCCTCATGTTATGGTAAAAGATTAACAACATTGAAATGTACCAAACATTATAGTCTTTAAAAGGCTCTACTTTTTATGCATTATCTCTTACATGCTTCACAACTCATAAAGGATTATCTACTCTTGGTTTAAATTTTACAAACGGACCTTTATGAAGCTTGCTTTTAATACTTCTACTTAGCAATCCTTTTCCTAACTCTGCCCATGTAGCTTTTTTTAATCTCTTTACCCCTCTCATCAACATTAGTACTATATCCAATCATGGTTGGCTTAGAAGTAAGCTCAATTAAAGTAACAAGATTTCTTTCATACATAATCTCAAATGAATTCTTGTTTGTAGTCCGACTCGGTGACTTGTTCTACTATCTAATGTTCTTCTCTATAAAGCTTCTCAAGAGATTACTTAAACTCTTATTCACGGCTTTATTCTAACCATCGATCTGTAAATGAGTTGTTAAACTGAACTAAAGCTTCATTTTCACCTTTTCTACAAAGTTTTTAAAAAATGACTTATGAGTTTCGCATCTTTATCCGAAGTGATAGTCTTCGAATGCCATATAACCTAACTACCTCTCAAAAGTAAAAGTAAGAAAGTGTATTGTATCATTAGTCTTGCTAAATGGAATGAAATAAGTCATCCTTGAAAACCTATTAATAGCTACCATTATTAAATCCTTAGATCATTGTGTTCTCAAAAGACAACCATAAAATTCATGTTCAATCAACCCAAAAAAGCCTAGTACGAGTAATGATGTATCAAGACTCATCTTCCGACCTTGAGTCTTCATCATGTGACAAACTCGATACCTCTTAACATATATATCCATATCTCTCGACATCAATGCCCAATAAAAGCTCTCACCTATAAGCTCAATGGTTTCATCTCAGCTCCAACTAGTAGTAAGCCCTCTATTATAATAGTTGATTTAAATAGATTCATTAAAAAAATATTTTGATTCTCATAAATAATTTTTATAAAACAAGTAACCATTATCAATATGAAATTATTTATAAGAAGCCATACCATATTTTTTACATATCTTTCCAAAATCATCATCATTTTTGTATAAGTCTTTAAGCACTTTAAACCTAACAACCTAAATTTTCAAAGTAGAAAGCAAGGAATATCTTTGACTAAGTTCATCAATCACCATGTTCAAAGCTCCAAACTTGCATTTTAGAACTATCATTTTGTTCATTAGCCTTTTATGCCTATTATGATCTATCTTCATCTTTGACTTCATTCGCCTTATTTATCTATCAAGATTAGAGGATCAAGATTCTAGAACTAATATTCAATCATTTTCTCTTTTTATGTGCGCCAACTTTCTTAAAGGGATAAAGGATATCCTTTTAATCAACTTTCGTTTGTTTTGAGTTAAAAAATGATAAAAAAAAATCTTTCTATGCTACATGTCTTCCCTTTAATTTGCTTTGACAATAGAGAAACTTAAAAGCTTTATGATCTAAAAAGAAAAAAAAACTCCTTAACCAAAAGATAATGACACTAATTGTCAAATATCCTAAATATAATGCAAAACTCATTGTCATATGTAAAGTACTTTCTTGTTTCTTCATTCGGTTTCTCACTAAAATAAGTAATAGACCATCTATTTCGGCTCAACACAACTCTAATTCCTAAGTTAAAAGTATCATAATTAACTTTAAACATATTCAAGAAATTAGATAGTGATAGAATAAGAGCCTTGGTCACTTTTTTCTTTAAAATATCAAACTCTTATTGAGCTTCGAGTGTCTTTTCAAACTTCTTCTTTTTTTAACAACTTAACAATTAAGGCGGTGATCATACCAAAAAATCCTTGATGAATCTCTTATAGAAATACACTAAGCCATAAAAACTTTTCACCTCGATCATAGAACTAGGAGTCGGCTAATTAAGGATAGCGTTAACCTTACGTTCATCCATCTTAATCCCCTTACCCTAAAAATATAAACCAAAAAGATAATCTTTTTAGTATAGAAGTGACACTTTTTAAATTTTGCATACAATTTCTATTCTCTCAACACAATTAAAAATTTCCTCAAATGATCTAAATACTCATAACACAATTAAAAATTTCCTCAAATGATCTAAATACTCATCAAACGCATTGTTATAAACAAGAATATCATTAAAGCAGACAATAATAAACTTACCAATAAATGATCGAAACACTCGATTCATCAACCTCATGAATATGCTAAGTGTTAGGTGTATTTGATAGCCTAAATGACATATCCATGCACTAATAGAGACCAAATTAAATCTTAAAAGTAGTCCTCCATTCATCATCCAAACTCATTCTAATATGATGATATCCAATCCTCTAGTCAATCTAGTAAATATTGTAAAATTATGCAACTGATCAAGTAAACTATCAAGTCCCGGAAT